ATCCAGTCAAAGTTAGAAAACGGGTGGGCAAATTTTAGGGTGCAACAGTGGGTAACGTACAGATGACCAGGTTTAGCCGTGGATGTCGTCGAGGACTTTTTTAGAGTGTTGAGTTGTTGGCCACTTTGGTTAGCGTAGATGGTCTTGCTCTGATAGTATAACATCGGGTTGGGGTCTTTGAGTTAAACCATGATTTATTTGATTTGGTTATTTTGATTATGTTCTCGTATAAGGAAAACTTTGGATTATGCGTTTTGAGTTCCGCTGCAATTTTTGATATCTTTTGGGAAAACTCGTTGTTTACGGAGCTTTGACTTATATTTGATTTATTAGGAAATGTACGCCCTTTGAATGATTTTTATTGAGTTTAATATTTTACTCTGATAAATGTGAATATTTTGCCTTTTATTTGGTGGGGTAGAAAAGGGTGTTACACCCAGCCCGCAAGGCTTTCCTCGCCAAGGACCGTCCTCCCAGGTGTTGTGCATTAATGCCCTCGTGGACCTCTTACAGGATGGTAGGGGCCTGATCTTTGTCGACGCATTTGAGGAGAGGGATCGAGAAGCCTCTCCGGTATAGCCTGCCTTCGAGCAGCACGTAAGAGCAGGCTCGACGTTTGACTGTGATGGCCTCTTTAGCGTCGTCGGGGAGGCGCATCATGTTAAAGTAGGTGTGTATTGAGGTCATCCAACAGTCGTTGTCCCCGATGGCGTTGACTTCGAGCATCACTTTCGCCTTCTCCGTACTTGGTTGCGCGAGGACCTCCTGAACGGCGGATTTGTCCCCCCCCCCTTTCTTCTTTGTGCTCGCCAACTTTGAGAGGACGTCTGCCTGTGTGTTCTGCTCGCATTGTACCTCGGCGGAGTCAAAACTCTTCATGTATTCCCATATAAGGGCCAAGTATTCGGCTAGGTTGTCGTTCTTCGCTTGGTACTCCCTTATAAGAAGGCTTCGTATTCGGCTTGATTGTTCGTCGTCGGGAAGGCGAGGGTCAGGGAGACCTCCACGACCGTGCCTTCCTCGTTTTCCAGGATGATGCCTGCGCCGCTCCCCGAGGAGCTCGAAGCGCCATAGGCGAAGATGGTCCACTTGTGGGCTCCGGGGGTCGGCTCCGTGGTGGGGGTCATCTCGGCGACGAAATCAGCCAGCACTTGGGCCTTGAGCATTTTCCTGCCTTCGTAGATGATGCCGAACAACTGTTTGATCGGCTGCTCGGTTCTATTTATGATGGTATGGGCCAGGAAGTAGCGTCGGAGTCTTCTGGCTGCATTCATGAGGGCCAAGGCGACTTTTTCGATCTGCTAATACCTCACTTCGGGGCCGTGGAGGGCCTTGCTCATGAAGTAGATCGGCTTCTGCTCGTCAGGGGTTTTCCGGATTAGTACGACGCTCACGACCTCGTTGGAGACGGCCAGGTACAGGTAGAGGGTTTCCCCGACGTCATGTCTCGTCAGGACCGGTGGCTCCGACAGGACGCGTTTGAGGTGGAGGAGGGCCTGCTTGCACTCCTCTGTCCATTTGAACGTGGTCTCCTTCCTCAGCAGTTTGAAAAATGGGAGGGCATGTTGCGCGGATTTGGCGACGAAGCGGGATAATGAAGCGAGCATCCCATTCAGGGACTGTATCGGCTTCTTCATGCTCGGCGTCGCGATCTTGGAGAAGGCCCGACATTTTTCCGGGTTTGCCTCGATCCCTCGTTCGGTCAGGTAAAACCCGAGGAACTTCCCCGCGCGTACACCGAAGGTGCACTTCTCCGGGTTAAACCGCATCCTGCACCTCCTCGCTGTCTCGAATACCTTCTTGAGGTGGGCCTTATGGTCGACCTCAGTGCACGATTTAACGATCATGTCATCCATGTAGACTTCGAGCATGTCGCCAATCTCTCCCTGAAAGACTTTGTTCATCATCTGTTGATAGGTGGCGTCAGCGTTCTTTTGGCCGAAGGGTATTACGTTGTAGTAATAGTTTCCCGACTCGGTCATGAAAGTCGTGCTCTGTTTGTTGACCTCGGCCATGGGGATTTGGTTGTATCCTAAGTAGGCGTCTATGAAGGACAGTAATTTGAAGCCCGCTGAGTTTTCGAAGAGCTTATCGATATTGGGGAGGGGATAGGCGTTCTTAGGACATTCCCGGTTGAGATCGGTGTAGTCAACGCACATTCTCTATTTTCCATTTGATTTTTTAACGAGTACAATGTTGGACAGCCAGGTTGAATATCGGGCTTCCGAAATAAAATTTGCCTCTAGGAGGTCTTTTACAGCTTTTTCAGCCGCGGCCAACTTTTCGGGTGACTGCCTACGTCTACGTTGTACTATGGCCTTCGCGGCTGGGTTGATGGAGAGCTGGTGACAGGTGACCTCGGGGTCAAGGCCGGACATCTCGGCGGCGCTCCAAGCGAAGAGGTCGGCGTTCTCACGGAGGCAGGCCTTCAGCTGCTTCCTCGGCAGGTCGGGCAGTCCTACTCCAATCTTCACGCTCCTGGTCGCATCTTCGCCGAGGACTACTATCTCGAAGTCCCCGTCTGGAATGGGGCGCGTTGGATAGAAGGGCTGCCCGTTGACCGTTGGAGGAGCGTGCTCGGCTTCGTCCTCGTGGTCCTGTTTGTCAGGGAGGCGGCAGTCGAGGTCCACGGCGTCGACGTGGTCCTTTGGCCTGTTCTCCTGGACGAGCGGAGGCTTGGTCGCTTTGGTAGGGGGACTGATCATGTTGAGGCCTTTCATTGCTGCCTCGAAACACCTCCGGACTGCTTCTATGTCCCCGTTGAGGGTGATGACGGCTCCCATCCTGGTATAGTACTTCATCTTTAGGTGGACTGTCGATGGCACCACGGTGAGCTATGCCAGCATCGTCCTGCCTAAGACGCAGTTGTACAGGGATGGGTATTCAACGACCAGGAAGCGAACGTTGATTTCCCTGGCCGTCTCCTGTGGCCCGAGAGTGACCTTGAGCTCCACGTATCCCCACGGTCTCGTCGTCGTCCCGTTGAACCCCTGGAGGTCGGAACCGACATAGGGGATCAAGTTGGTCTCGTCGAGCTGTAGCGTTGAGAATAGGTGGGTATACATGATATCCACTGAACTCCCTCCGTCGACTATGATCTCGGAAGTTGAAGTTGGAAGCTTTGGTTCTTCTACTCGGAGGAACGAGGAAGCTTTATATTTCCCACATACAGCGCCACTGGTCGTACCTGATCAGAGAGATCGTTGGCCTGCCACACGTCTGAGCTGTCGAACTGCTAACTTGACGGATAGAGGGGGGTGTACCTGAAATACACTCTAATGCCAAAGTAAGGGACGAGCAGAGTGATAACAAGTACAGAGAGAAAGGAGTAAGAGTTAAATTACCTGACCCTCTAGTGGAAGAGGGTATTTATAATGAGCCCCCAGCGCAGGGCCAACGGTCACTATGCGTTGGGCTGAGCTGTCAGGCCCAACGTTGGTAACTGTTAGGGCTGACGTGGCGTCGTGAAGACCAGCACGTGGTCTTCACCCCTAGTGTAATTGTTCCGTGCTATTCGGGAGGTGGAGGACCGAATAATCAGGACACAGGGAGTTATCTGATAACGTGTCGCCGCGTAGGGGACATGTTGAGAACGTGGGGAGGTCTGAGGAGCTTCCCGAGCTGGATGAATTTTGCCCGACCGTGGGGCAGAAGGAGGGCGAGTCGGACAACTATGAGGATCCTGCCCAACTACCTGGTCCGTGTCCGACGAGAGAAAATGTTCTGCCCAACGATGAGGTTTTATTGGACCTTCCAACCTGGTGGAATTTGGCCCTGCTCGACCATGGACCAAACGCGGACCTAATCCAAAAAAATATATATACTAAAAGATATTATTTTATATCAAATTTAATAAATATACACCATCGTCTAATAAAAAATCATCACAAAATCATTTTATATCATAATTTTAAAAAGTAACAATGTGATTTATTAGAATATATAAAATAAAACGACGTGATGCTCTTTGGATGACTTTATATTCATCTCCTATTTTCTCTTTTTTTATGGTATAGCAAGGAACTCGTGACATGATCAAAGATTAAAAACAATATTTTAAAAATTAGTTTTACTATTATTTAACTTTTGAAAATTGCTCCCATTACCATCATGACATTGACAGGATGACCCCTTCCTGACAATGGCAACTGCCATATTTATTTATTTTACTCAATAAAATGCATATATATATTATTATCACGTTTTCATAATATAGAATTCATGTCAAATAAATGTGTCTTAAAATAAATGACATATTTTAAACATATAAAAAAAACTAATCAATATTATTATTTTTTATACAATAATTTTTTTAAACTATAATATCTTTAATTATTTATTATATTCATTTTACTTTTTTTCTCTATAATAATTATTTAAGAGTAATTTTGACAAAAATATATTTAATATTATATTAAATTTCACAAGTGACAATTAAAAAAAAAAAGATTATTCCAAAAGCGATACTTAAAAAGAAACGGAAAAAGTAAATAATAAATTATATCCAATGTAACTAACTCTTTATTCCGTGTTTGGTTCAACTTTTATGATTTTTATTTTTGTATTCCTTTTAGGGTTTAAAATGTCAACTTTTATAAGATACTGGTCCCCTTATTTTTTTGTGGCATAGGTTAAACATGTGAAAAATTGATTTTATTATGGAGACATATTTGCCAGACAGATACTGGTCCCCTTAAGCGCCGCCGTAGGACCTTTCATTTGACAACAATAATCTGCCAGACAGGATGAGTCATTAAAACACAACATGCTAAAAGTGGCAAAGTACGGTTGAACTAAACTTCTGAATTTCATTTCATTGCTTTGATATATGATACTACACACAACAAATCCTTTTAACATATATGATTACACCCTTCCATCCCCCAACTCCCCCAATAAAACTATCTATAGTTGAAAGCAACAACAAAGGAAAACTCCCCCAATAAAACTATCTGTAGTTGAAAGCAACAACAAAGGAAAGGAAAAAGAGAGCACCAACTTTATGACTTGCTACTTAAAGCATTGTATATGTTGGTGGAAATTGCAATTGCACTTGCTACTACAGCTAATATAATCATAACCAGTGCTATTATTTTGTCCTTTCTTGTTGATATTCCAAGTGCATCCCTGTCATACCAAACAAAGAAAAATAAGGAACCTCACTTGTATTCTTTTCCAATTTGTTATAATAACTAATAACATTATGAAAATAGGTTACCTTAAAACTATAAGGCCAGGGAAAATAAAGGCAAGACATAGTGCAGTTGTTGATCCTAGAAACTGAAAAAAGTACCAAATATCTGGAATTGCTATGGCGGCAAGATAGGAAAATACTAAGAGCACAAGAGTGAGAATCAAAAATCTCTTGTTGTCTGTGGCTAGTAGAGCCTTCTTGGGGAAGAATACTTCATCAATGTTGGCTCTTAAAGAGAAATTCACAATAGGGAACACCAGCATAACGTGGAGTGCATAGCTTACACGAATTAAACTATTGAAGAATGAACCAATAGAATCAGCACTCTGATCAAAATTGACCAGAATGTCTGATTGTGTTGAATCTCCAAATAAGAGGTAGCCGAATAAACCAATTGTAAAGTAGAGAATAGCACAAAACATTATTGCTAATCGAACGGCTGTTTTCATATCAGATGGCTTTGCAAACTCAAATCCAATAGGATGCACTGCAAAGTAAAACAAAAGTACTCATCAACACAACAACAAGAAAAGGAGAAAACCCTTATCCACCACCAAATAATGCAAAATGCAAGTTAATTAGTACCATTAAAATGAAATGTGAATGCTGTGACTACAACAGGAACTGTAGTGAACAAATCAAAGAAAGATGTCTCGTAGTCCAACCGAGGAACCAGTTTAGGGGTTTGTGTTTTTCCTTGCACCAAAGCAACAATAGCCAAACCAGAACAAATGGCAACAAATGATACAGCAAGAAGAGTTGATACAGCAGAACTGTACTTCAAGGATTCTGACAAAAATCAAAACAGCATAAAATCAAAAACAATAACAAATAAGTCTATGCCATTAAATCTTTTCAATTCGGAACAATGAAAATAAATCAAATTGGAATTAAAAATGATCTTCAACTAAATCAAACTCGCCGCGTTTTTGTCAAATTCCCCACAATTCCAATCATGCACTAAATAAGCATTGAAAAACACTAACCTACACTTCTGTACAAGACCAATGGAAGCATAACAAGAACCAAGGTGATGAGAAGAGCAACTTCTCTGGAATTCCACCAGTGAATCCCAAACCACTGTTGCAAAATTCCCAAATGCACTTCATCTCCACTTTTCTTTCCAGATAGAACATCCCCTGTTGTTCCAATGCACACAAACATGAAAAACTTGAAAGCAAGTAACAGCCCTTTATTAATAAACCAATCACAAATATAAAAGAATCTAGCAATAAAGTTCCAAAATCACGACTTAGCAAAGATACAAAAACACAAAACGAAAGATCTAGAAAGGCGTATGTATTATTTAACTCTCTTAATTAATGATCAAAATATACTAAGAGAAACGTAAAGAAATGAAATATGTTCTAACCGATAATAATAAGGAAGAGAATTAAACCCCCAAAGTTGGTGAGTATTACACAAACTTGAGCGGCTAATGCTCCAGCGGACCCGAAAGCTTCCTTCATGACGCCAGAGTACGTCGTCGTATCACCGGCATGTGTAAAACGCATGAGAAAATCCACCGATACTTCGGCTAGCCCAGCCACGATTACGATTAAGGCGAAAGAGGGGAAAACGCCGAGAACTTTAAGAATCGCCGGGATTGACATGATCCCAGCGCCAATTATGCTCGTGGCGACATTAAATACGGCGCCGGGAATTGAACCTTGGCCCGCCGCCGGTGTGGATCCAGGCAAGAGGGGCACATGGATTCCGGCAGACGGTGTCATCCCGGCGATGAAGTTATTTGGAAGAGTTGAGAAAGGAAATGTGGAGTTTGGTGACGTACATAACAGCTACCATCCATTTATATTGGTTTTTTAATGTATCTTCTTTGTCTGAATATTGACATATCTTTTTGTAGATAGACTTAAATTTAGAGAGACGACTTTTCTATCTATTCATGTCATGAAACTTTATCATAATTTTATAATTTATTAAAATATTTAAATTTAAGAGATTTTCAAAATAATTTATTTTATAATAATTTTTTTCAATTTTTATCCAGAGTACTTGGAAGTTGGATGAGATAGTAAAAGACCTATTCCTACTTAATTAGACGATACCTTATTTCTATATAAAAAAAAATTTACCCAATATCTTATGAGGGATAGATAAGAATTTTTCTAAGATTTAAAATATTTTAAACTAAAATAATATTAAAAAAATGATATAATATTGAATATTATTGTTTTAATAGATTGAGGTATTGGTATTCAACTATTTTTTTTTCATAAAATATGATTAGGCTATCACATTCTATTATAAAAAAATTTAAATTTATTAAACATAAACATATTTAATAAATTAAAGTAAAATAAATTTTATTTTATAATAGAGAATTTAGGGAATATTTTTTTAGTACATCTAAAGGAAAATACAATGTTAATCATTTTGCTTAAAAAATAAATGAGAGTAGTGATCATTTTGTACCAAAAGAAAAAGGTAAATTTAAAATATCAAAGTTTAGTTGGATCTCAATACTCTATGTATAATTAATTTAAAATTTTAATTTATTTATTAATAAATTAAAATAAAAATTATATGATATAAAAACAATTTAATTATTAATATATGTCCGTCAAAGGCCTAACAAAAAACAAAGGCCTAATATAAGTAAGATTTAAGTATCCTCTTCAATAACATAAGGTTTAATAAAATGATTCATCATATATAAGTGGTATATGTTGTACACATTTTCATCTCAAACTTACACTTCATTCATTTTGAAATATGTAACTTATTTGGGAGTTGGAGTACTATGAAGTAGCACGTCTTTGATACATTAAGAGGGGTCTATGTATGCCTTTGTTGCTCGTCCCCTAAGCTTTACTTTGAATTTAGTTGTATATTTGAATCTCCTCTTCAATTTCGCATCTTTACGAATCGAGTTTTAAATTCATATTTTAGTATACATAATTCAAATTGTTTGTATTTGAGTATGAATATTATGCTTTAAGTCCATTAGTTAAGTTTTTGGAACAAGAACCATAATTGATATTGATTGAAGTTATGACAAAGGTAAAATCTCAAAAAATCTTTGAAAACTTGAAATTTTGAGATTTTTGATGTGTGATTCGAATGACACAATCCCTTGAATGGAATCAAACAAGGCAGAGAAGAATCAAGAATGTGTGTAAGGTTGTGAGTCGAATCATAACTTACCATTGATTTGAATCATGCACTATGTGAGTCGAATCACGGTTTGTAGTCGAGTCACAAGTCCCTATTTATCCTCTCCCATGTTTGAGTTGAACCGTGACCAAACCATGATCTGAATCATAGCATGTATGAGTCTAATCATGCTTTATTCTTGACTGGAATCACAGAAAAATGGTTATCTCTTTAAGTGCACATCTTGTTCCATGTTACTTTGTCACTTGACTCAAATCACCAAATGTTTTTGCTCGAATCAAACATAATTTTTTTTCACTTCATCTGGTCTATGTATCATCCTTTTCATCAATCCGTGGACCTTTGGTCTGTTTATCATCCTTTTGGTGAATGACAGACTGTGATATCGTTTTGCTTACTATTATCCTTTTAGTAGTAGTAAGATGTGGTCTCACTTTTATCCTTTTGGTGAAGGATCATTGAGTTGTGTTTTCTATCATCCTTTTGATGATATATTCGTCATTCTTTTGGTGTTATAGGTGTGTTCACTATCATCCTTTTGGTGGTAGGTCTGTCATCCTTTTGGTGTCAGATATCTACGTGTGCGTGTGTTTTCTATCATCTTTTTGGTGATAGGCCCGTCATCCTTTTGGTGTCGGGAATCCAATGTGTACTTACTATTATTCTTTTGGTAATAGCAATTTTTGACCCCACTTTCATCCTTTTGGTGAAGGGTCGTGCGTGTGTTTACTATCATCCTTTTGGTGATAGGTCTGTCATCCTTTTGGTGTCAGGTTTCTCTATGTGTGTGTGTCCTCTATCATCTTTTTGGTGATAGATCTGTCATCCTTTTGGTGTTGAAAATTTGTGTTTGCTTACTATTATCCTTTTGGTAATAGCGAGTCTCGACTTCACTTTCATCCTTTTGGTGAATGGTCGTTGTGTGTGTTCACTATCATCCTTTTGGTGTCGGAGTTGTGTGACTTTACTATCATCCTTTTGGTGATAGATTCGTCATTATTTTGGTGTCGGAAATCTGTGTTTGCTTACTATTATCCTTTTGGTAATAGCGAGTTTTGACCTTACTTTCATCCTTTTGGTGAAGGGTCGATGCGTGTGTTCTCTATCATCCTTTTGGTGATAGATTCATCATCCTTTTGGTATCGCATCGGGTTGTGTTCTCTATCATCCTTTTAGTGATAGACCTGTCATCCTTTTGGTGTCGGACGTGTGTTTACTATCATCCTTTTGGTAATAGGGTTGTCATCCTTTTGGTGCCAGGTTTTGTGTGTGTATGCTTTATCATCCTTTTGGTGATAGATCTCTCATCCTTTTGGTGTCAGAGGTGTGTTTAATATCATCCTTTTGGTGATAGGCCTGCCATCTTTTTGGTGTCAGATATCTTCGTGTGCGCGTGTTCTCTATCATCCTTTTGGTGATAGATCTGTCATCCTTTTGGTGTCGGAGATGTGTGAGTTTTCTATCATCCTTTTGGTGATAGATCAGTCATCATTTTGGTGTCAGAGTCGTGTGCGTGTGTTTACAATCATCCTTTTGGTGATAGGCCCGTCATCCTTTTGGTGTCGGTAATCAATGGATCTTTGGTTTGTGAATCATCCTTCTGATGAACGACAACACCAGAATCCATTGTGTGTTTTCTATTATCCTATTGGTAATAGTGAGCTTTGACCTCACTTTCATCCTTTTGGTGAAGGGTCTTCGTGTGTACTTACTATTATCCTTTTGGTAATAGCAAGTTGAGTCGTGTGAGTTTACTATCATCCTTTTTGGTGATAGTTTTGCCATCCTTTTGGTGTCAAATATCTTTATGCGGGTGCTTACTATCATCCTTTTGGCGTCAATTTTTTTTATTATCATTATTTTGGTGATAACATCCTTTGCAAGTTACTCAATGTCCACTTGAGGGTCGACATTGATCTACTATTCCACTTCCCAAGCATTTCCTTTCTTTTCAGACAAATTCGGAGTCTTCTTCATATCCAATTTACTTCTACCTTGAAAGAATGAGCGTTGTAGCAGCTCATCTTACTAGGTTTAATCCAATTAGATATAGGCATCTTTCATACTCCAAATTTGTTCTACTTGTGTATTATCTTCATCTGTACATTCGCCCACTAACTATTACTCAGAAACTAAAAAAAGAGTATGTTGTTTATGCTCCTGGTCCAAGCTCAGAATATCACAGGGTTAAGATGAATTGAATTGAGTATCATTTAAAGGTTATCAGTGTGAATATGTGGATTCAGTGATGGTTAAAGATCAGTTAGGTCTGACCTAATCTTGGTCAGACAAGTTGTGCTGTAAGATCAAGGCCTGAGTGATTGATTCAAGTGGTATGTGTTGTACCCCAAAATTTGCCCAACCTTTTCTTGGTTTGGCTTTTGTTTCATTTCATTTTTGTACTGTTGCATTTTTGCATTGCATAGCATTTGTCCTTGAGACGGGGGATCGAGGTTTTCCCGAGGCTCAGAATTCACCTTCAGCGCAAGCAAGCAACAGCAGTTGGCATTTATTTTGCCCGATCGAGTGGTCGATTTTATTTTATTGTGCCGGTTAATTTCCAGCGTTCAGGCTACTTCAAGCAGTTTCACAGCTAGGATGATTGAAAAAGAGTTTCAAAGGCTTAACAGATGTCCAAACAACAAGAAATGGGCAAACTGATGGATTTCCCTCCAAAAGGCGTCAATTTCAAAATTTTGAAGGTGTTAATCGGTTAACACATATGGTTAACCGATTAACACAATCAAAATCAGGCTAATTTTGCAGGTCTTCACAGTGTTAACCGGTTAACCATATGCGTTAACCGATTAACATGTGTATTTTTTGCCCTGTACGTGAATTTTCAAGTCCAGCCACTCTTGGAGTCCCATTTTGATCATTTGAATTTCATTTTTACACTTGGGAAGGATCTAGAACCTCATTTGAAATTTGTTTAATTTCAATTTCCCACCAAATGCTCATTCCACATTCCATACCACATTTTCCCACCCAAATTACAAACCTTGCATTGGATCCAAACCTAATTGATATTTAAATGATTCACTCCAAACCTCACCATCTAATCTCTCATAATTTAATTCATTTTTCAAAATTCACTCTTGAGCTCTCAATTTTCTCTCAAAATTCTCCATTCCCAAACCCTCACTCAAAGCTCTTCATCATTTGGATTCATTGATTTTTCATTGAAATCAATGGATTCTTGAGCATAAACCTCCATTTACCATCATCATTGGATCAATTTTCATCATCAATTTTCGTGCAAGCTTGGATCTGAATCTGGAGTTGGATCTAGAAGTCATTATTTGAGGCTTTTTGACTCAAACTTGGTGGATCTTCATTCATACAACAACAATTATTGTGGATCTTGAAGTTTTCCGGATTTCTAGCATTTGATCTGCTCAAATTCAGTTGATCAACATTTACCGAAGCAAATATCTGCTTCGAAGGTTGGAATTCTCGATCCGATTTAATTTTTGAGCTTATCATGTTAATCTTCATATTTGATTGAATTTTGGTTGATTTCGATCCGTTTGAATTGTGATTGTGCTGTGTAGACATGTTTGCATGTCTATTAGTTTTATGTTTGCATGTGTAA